TAGCAGTATTTTTACTCGCTGCACCTTTCAGGTGGCTCTTTGGGGGCCCGCCATGGAGGGTCACAAGTCAAGGTGCTTTGATTGATGACACCACTCCTATCTCTGTGTTCCTGGGAGCCAAGAGCCTGGTCTCTTTCAAAAGCCAAACTCTTCATCTGAAATGTATCCTTCTTCCAAAAATGATGCTAAAGAAAGACAAGAGAACTTAGGGTCTTTCTCATTTACCCAGACAGCATTGCACAGCATACTGTGGCCTGGGGGGGCAGGGCTTCCATTTGTCATTCATTCATTCATTCATTCATTCATTCGTTCATTCAATATGGATTGAGGGTCAGTTGCAGGCTGGACACATTCTAGGTGTTAAAAAACATCTAGAGACAGAGCAAGAACAAATCAGAGTATCTTTCTTTCTTTTCCTTCCCCTCCCCCTCTTTTTCAACTTTTGAGACAGAGTCTTACTGTGTAGTACAAGCTGGCCTTGAACTCATTTATGTGCCCTAGGCTGGCCCTGAGCTCACATTGATCCTCCCAACTCAGCCTCCTGAGTGCTGGGATTACAGGCATGCACCACTATGCCCAGCTAATCAGAGTTTCTAAGTGCACAGAATTTACATTCTTGCCAAGAAGAAAGGGCAAAACAAAACACAACACCTAAGACACCGACAGATGCACATACAGTAAAAAGGAAGTAGGGATGACACCAGGAAGAAAAAGAAGGAAACCAGGAGGCCTGAGGGGGATGAAAAGTGAGATCGCGGGAAACTTTTCTGTGGATAAAATGTTGGAACGGAGACCTGCATGAAGTGCTGGGGAGCTATCGGGTGACTTAGAGAAAGAGCATCTCAGTCAGAGGAAACAGCAAGAGCAAAAGTCCCCCAGCGGGAGCTGGCTTGGTTTAAGCCAAGTGACTTGAGCAAAGAGAGTGAGGGGATGTCCAGCAGAAGAGCTCAGAGAGGCAGGAGAGGCTGGAGCAGGGCCTTCCTGGCTACCGTAAGGAGTTCCATTTCAAATGTGCTGTTCCAGAGCCTCAGGCAGTGTATGTGTCACTCGGGTGGGGCAGTGATGGAGGAGACAGAGACTGCAGAGCCAGGGCACAAAGACAGCTCCATGAGTCAGCTCACCCAGCTCCCACTCTCACCTTGAGCCTGAAACAGAAAAGCAGCTGACAATCCAGGACCCAGGAGGGAAGGCTGGGAAAGGTTTGATGGCAGCAGCAGTGAAGGAGGAGATGAGTCTGTGTCGTGTTTACCTTGTCCATCAAAGCGTTTGAATCACCAGTGGGTGTCCAGATACCTAAAGCTGGACTCTCCTTGACATTTTCCCTGGGAGTTCGGAACTATGGATGCTCCTGTCTTTCCATAGAATGTCAGCACACGTCACTTTCTTCTCCATATCTGCCCCATTTCACGGAATCCTACAGAAGCTCTGAATGTTTCCACGTTACAGCTGTGGGCGCTCATGTGCAGAGCTGGGGCAATGTGCTCAACGCCAATAAATGCCAAGCTGCAATGGGCAAAGCAGCGGTGGGTGCAGCCCGTGAGGGAGGTGCTGCAAGGAGCCAGCTAGGACACCACACTTCCCAGGTCCCTCCTGCTAGGATATGCCAGGAGTGTAACTCTGCTGAGACCTCTCGGTGGAACTGTGGCTTTCAGGAGCGTGTCCTTCAGCGCAGGGATTTGCTCCTTTTCTTAAGTCTTAAAAGATAGTCTAGAGCAGTGGAAGAGGAAAGTCAGTTGCATAGAATCAGGGGTGCAGCTGAGGTACAGAGTATAGGACTGAAATAAGAACAGTTGTCAACAGCTTTCCAGGGGCCCAAACAGGCACCGTCCTGCATTTGTGGCTGAAAGATGGGGCTCCCTGTCCTGAAGTCTGCTGATGCCATTGGCTGGTTCCGGCTTCTCTACAGCACTCCTGGCTTAGCGTTCTTTGATGGACACCCTGATTAGCTGGGAGACTATCACTTCCTGAAATGGAGGTGATTACTTCTGAATGATGAGGTAACAGAAACAACTGTCATCTCTAAGCATTTTCTGTACAACCTTACTGTAAAGAGCACTTTTACACATATCATCCTACTTACATCTCTGCAAATTCCTTCAAGATGAGCTGGCATCCATCCCAGTTGCTTTACCCTAGCCATGCTCTTCTATGCTACCTCCAGTGCAGTGACAGATACAGAAACTGAAGTTCAGAGAGGTATATGACTTCCCCTATGTCACACAGCTTGTACATAGCTGAGCTGTATCTGCCTGATTCCTGTCCTTTTTCTCCTCAGCTCCAGTTGACTTTAAAAAAGAATTATCTTGAGATCTTTCCTACTGTATGGGAAACCTGATTTATTTATCACTAAGGTTACTAAGAATAGTAACATTCAAAAAAGAAAGAAGAAGAAACATTTTGTGGAAATTCACTCATCAACTGACTGAAATGTTTTGAATGAATTTGGGAGCTGTATACTTAGGACAACTGAATAGTTTAAAGAATTTTGTACAGGATGTGAAGCTATATTAAAAGAGATCGTTTTTTTTTTTTTTTAAACAAATGTTACAACTAACAAGCCATACGTTGCAGTTTGGCTTCTAATTGTTGGGCAGGAGGAAAAGGTAAATTGTCATTGTTGGCATTTTCCCAGTGACATTTGTATTTTCATTTTTATCAGAAGCCCCCTTTAGCAAAGCAATGTAGTCTTAGTCACTTGAAACTGCTCTTCTCTCGAAAACAATTGAAAATGTAATAAGCAAAACATCATAGAAAATACCCACTGGAAAAATAATCCACCCGGGGTCAGTTTCATCATGCAGACTGGTTCAGTCTTCTTATGACATTCTTATTCAAGAAGAAAAACTTGGAAATTTTCTAAATTGCACGGAGTACAGGGAGAGGAGAAGGAATTGGATTTTGGTCCCACTGGGCAGGGATCAAGATTTCCTTGACTCTCAAGAACCATTTTGCTTGTTCAAATCGTTTTACAGTGACCGAATCTCTCGTCTGCATACAATAGGTATTGGTTGCTATGGGAAGAAACAATAAGGTCATGATTGCTTTAAAATTATACATAATAAAAACACGTTTTGAGATTTGATTCTAAATGTTAAACTTAAATTTGAGCGATTTAATTGCCCGTTGAATAGAAATGAAATCCCACCAGTAGGAAGTTATTTCTTACAACCATTGTGTGTGAAATTGAAATCTTAAGATACCATTTCAAATATGCACCGTCTCGAAGGAGGTTCTCCCCAAAGAGTTATGAAGATAAGAAACTGACCCAAAGTCATGGCAGTCGGCTTCTTTTCTTTACACACTCAGCTTAAAGCAGAAGCAGAGTATTAAAGAGAAACTTTATGCACAAAAGTTGGATATGTGAGGTTACTTCTCAGAACCCAAGGACAGATTTATTTCAATAACTAACTTGAGTCCCATAGAAGACTGGAGCCAGGAAACTAATAATTTATAGGATTTAATAGAAGCAGATGCACAGGTAGCATCTATCCAAAAACCAAACATTAAAATTAAAAAGGCATATATGCTTTGTTTAGGAGTGGCAGGGAATGAGCTGAACTTGCTGCATTTGCTCTTTTAATTCAGGAAACAGCTTTTTAATGTGGGTGGGAACCTGGCCTTGAACTGACCCAGGCTGACCTTGAATTTGCTTTCTCTTATCTCTCAGCCTCCTACTGCTGGGATTACCCGTGTGTGCTGCCACATCCAGCTGGAAAAAAATTTTTTTTGAGACAAGGTTTCCCTGTGTAGTTTAGGTTGGCTTTGAACTCCAACTCACTATGTAGCCCAGGCTGGCCTCAAGCTCCCAGGAAGCCTCCTGCCTCAGCCTTCTGAGTGCTGGGGTTACAGTTTGTACCACCACACCTGGCTGGGAATTCTTATTCTAAACCCTCATTTCACCTTTAAATGCTATTTCAATGATGTCTTTTGCTATGACATAGCAACTGTCACGAGCTTCTAATATATGCAAGGTACTTTCCATGCGATCAATTTCATGTCTATCACTACGCCATTCCTTTACAAATCTACAGTGCCACACTTTGTGCACTTATTTCATTGAATCTTTGCAACGTGCTGTGCCACAAAATGTGCGGTTCCATTTTACGGTTGAGCATATTGAGATTCTAGACTTCTGTTCTTCGTTCAGGTTCCAGGTGGTGACAGGGAAGCTATCACACAGTGAGTCAGGCTCTTGAGGTTCTACCCACTCAGATTTAGGAATTTTCCTAGGTCACACTGGCTGACACGGAAAAGCTCAAATCCAGTTAATTGAGTCCCAAAGCCTCAGCACTGAACAGCAGCACTGACTTATTATAAGTACATAAATTCTTAATCATATCCTATATGCTTATTTTCATTTCTGACTGGAGAAATGGCTAGAGTCATAGGTTAGATATTTCTTACATAATTTAGGCTTGCCCCCCAAATTCTAGGAATTTTCTTTTTAATTGAAAACAAGGGTCTGACCAGGCAAATGTCGTTTTTATATACACGGAAGGTCCATCTTGAACTCAGAGCTGCCCTCCAGGCCTTATGGGACACACACACACACACACAAATTTTTATTATACCCATCACGACCCAAGCATTGGGACCCTGAGACAAGAACACAACAGGAGCCTCCAGATAACCATAAATTCTTGTTCTGTTTGCCAACCGTCGATGAAGATTTGGCTCCAAAGAGGGAAAATGAAGCGTCCAGGGCTACACTTCTCACTTCTGCCACCATTTTGTCAGCTGGAGCTCATTCAGGCCCCTCAGTGGCAAAGTTAAAATGGGAATAAAACGCCTTTGACTGGGATCCAGGTCTCTTTCCATCTCTGGTGATTGTTAGCATCGTACACAAACGGGCCTGGAGTCGTAATTTCTAAAGACGGACATTTCCCCTGAACTGTGAGGCCCAGAGCAACCGAGTTTTCCTCTACCGAAGGGCCTGAGGTTTGCCTCCTGCTGGCTCCTTCTGCATCCCCTTCTCTTTCTAGAACTTGCCCTGGGGCTTGGAGGAGAAACCCCCAAGCCCCAGATTAGGTCTCTTTTCTTTCTCTTAGCTTTTTACTCAGGGCAGAAATAATCTCCCTAGTAACATTCTCTTTTCGGGGTATCACTGGCACTTTACAGGGGTCAGTGGAACCGCAGGAGTCCGCTCTTTGAAAGATGCTGAGGGAGGGAATTCTGCCGCCAGCAGATGGAGAAGAGACCCGGACCAGCGTGGTCCCTCCCAGCCACCCTCCCCTCGGGGTTAGCTGTCCCCAGCACTGCTCAGGCGTGCCCAGCCCGTGTGGTCCCCGTTTGCACAGCTTCCTCGCCTCTCCGGAGCGCGGACGCGACCCCGAGCCCGCCGCCAGCCGAGCCGCGCTGTCCCGGGCGTCCCCACGCCCCGCGCCCCTGGACCTGGGACCTCGAACCTGGGACGCGCGCGCACGACAGCCACGCGGAACACCCGCATTTCCGTAGGTGCTCGTTTTACGTTCTGTCTTTGCCTCTCTGGCCCGAGCTGTCCGGTGATGACTTTCAGCCTTGCACCGAAAGGGACAACGCGGAAGAGGGGGAAGCCCTGCAGGATGATTTAGTGGCAGGCCAGCCTCCTCTCCAAGGAGAGGTGCCTGCCGAGCGACTTTCTCGGACCCCAACGCTGGCCCCTTTAAGAAGCCAAATCAGTCCAACTGCGGCTGTGTTTGCATTGCTAACCCCACGAGCCCCGTTTAAAAAAAAAAATAGGAAGAAAAAAGAGGAGGGGGGATCGGGCAGCTGTCTCTTTAAATGTGATTTCCTTCTATTGTATTTGAATCGTGATCAGGAAAAAGGAAATGAAACCAGAGACAGAGGGAAGCTGAGCGAAAATAGACCTTCCCGAGAGAGGAGGAAGCCCGGGGAGAGACGCGCGGCCCCCTCCCCGCGTCCCCAGGCCGCCGCCCCCTGCCCGCCTCGGCGACGAGCCGCGCGCCGCGACCCGGCCGGAGGGCGAGAGGCGAGGGGCGGCGGGCGGGCGGGCGCGCACATCCCCGCGGGGCGCGGAGCCGGCGACAGCGCGCGGGGCGGACCGGGTGGCGGCGGCGGCGGCGGCGGCGAGCGGGACCGGGATGGAAGGTTAAGTCTTGCGCTGCTGCAGCCGCCCGGGGCCAGCCTCGGCCGCAGCGCGCCCGCAGCCCGGTGATTCGCTCTCTCTCTTTGGCGTTTGAAGGGAGCGCGGTGACTGTCCTTGAGCGCGGAGGGGCGAGCTCGCCGCCGGAGCGCCAGAGCAAGAGGAGGCGCCGGAGCGGCGGCGGCGGCGGCGGCGCGCGAGCACCCGAGGGGGTCCGAGCCCCGGCAGCCGGTCAGCCCCGCGCCACAAAGGGAGCGCCCCCGCCGCCCGGCACGCCGCCTCCCTCCCCAATGTCCTCGGCCATCGAGAGGAAGAGCCTGGACCCGTCTGAGTAAGTGCGGCTTCCCTGTCCCCGCCGCCCGCCGGGGCCACGGCCTCGCACCCGGAGCAGCGACGTGGCGCGGGCGGCCCGCGAGGGGCTCCCGGTGCGCACCCGCTCGCGCGCCCTGGGTCCCCTCCGCCTCGCGCTCCAGGGGCTCCTGGTGCTCGCAGGTGACTCGGGGCCTTGGGAAGAGGATCTGGCGGAGGACGGTGGGAATAGAGGTCGGCGCGGCGCCTCTGGGGCCCCTCCCGGCTACCAGGGACAGTCCCCAAAGCCCCGGCCCGGCCAGAAAGTTTGCACCGGAGCAGGCACAAGGGCGCTTGCAGGCGCGCAGGTGCATCCGGGGAGCGTTCAGGGCTCCATTCTGCTTCCTTCTCCTCTTTTGCCCCTTCTCTTTGTCCGTTTGGTCCTGCAAAGGGGGACATTCCAAGTGGAGGCCTCCGGAATCCCGGACGACTCCTTTCCGGGTCCGCAGGTGGAGCGGCTGCGGCAGCATCATGGATCACAGGCGGGCGGGTGAGGGGGGTCTGCCTGTCCACCTCGAGCTGTCCTGGGCCTCCAGAGACTTCCAGAGCCGCTAGTCAGGAGTTAATCTGGGTACAGGGACTCTTCTCCCCAGGCGTCCAAGGATGGAGGCCTGTGAACCTCGAAAGTTTGTGCACTATTTTGTGTATAGGTGTAATTTTCTGGGAAGCAAGATCTCATAGCTTTTATTATACCATAAGAAAGGTTTGGGCCAGGGAACCAGAGCTGTCTAATGAGCGTGTGCTGCATCTATGTCCTGATCCTTGCACTACTTTGGAATGAACATGATCTATTCCCAACCTATACCCCAGTCCATTCTGTAGTTTTAACTTGGGGGAGCGAGGCGAGTGTTTAAGGTATCATTTCCCCCATCAACGCAAATAGCCTTTTAAGAGTCATTAGCTGTCTGGTTTTGAATTTTTATTCCTTTGAAGTCCCCATCTAATCCTTTGAAGGGATTTGTTACACAAGACCAGAGGAGCTACTTAATGACTTGTCCATTTGTGCTTTTAAGAGGCATTTGTTTTGTTTTTTTCTTTTCCTGCTTTAAAAGAATTGTGCTTTCCTGCTTGAAGTGCCACCCCCTCCAAATTTCAGCTTTGTGTGGTGTTTATTTACCTGGGTTTTGCCCTCCTGTTGCCAGCATAAAAACTCAGCAGGTTCCCATAAAACACAGGAAGTAGCAGGATCCAATGAGAATATAAACATCACCCTTCAGTCTTGAAGGTTAAGACACCAGCTCTGTAAGGAGTAAGGTTTGTTGTAACAAAGACCCTGCTTCCTTAAACAAATTCTCAGGAGAAAAATAGCATCCCTTTTATTAAAACATATATATATGGCTCTGCACACAATGGATGTAAGGCATAGTTTGTTCACTTTTTTTATGCACCTAGAATGACAGCTGAGCTCTGAATTTTTAGACATTGAGCAAAACTGTAGAACACAGTACGCCAGTGAGTTGAATGAACTGGTGCCCGTCAGCAGTACTTAGTCCCACATCCTTGTATTAGAAGGTAAGTCTGAAAGGTTTGGTCCCCTAGAGGAGGTTTGCTTTTTCCAAAGTTGGCGCTTTTCCCCTGAGGTTAGACAGCTGAGGCATCCTAACTTCATAATGTGGCGCAGTGGGAAGCTTATTGTGGGAGGCTCCAGGATTCTGTCTTTCCCTGCACTGTGTACCTACGAAGGCAGGTTTTAATTGAAGGTGGACAAACCAGTTGAGAATTCTCTGCAGTACATCTCTCCCTCTTTTGGAAATCCCCAAGAAATTATCCCAGGCTGAAGGGATACTCGGAAATAATATTTAGGCTAGGCTCTGAGGCAATATGGGTATTCCTTTGGAGATGAATCCCACTCAGTCATTGGCCTGGATTGCCTGCTAAAGATAATACGATATTATCATTAATTACAAAATGATAGATAGAGCCAGTATCTTATCCTGTCTTTCTTTGTCTCATATCAGCCCATGGCCATGGTTCCTTTTGGTTTTCATTTCTCCTGCAGAGGACTCTCCTGCTATGTAGATGCTTCACTGCATGCTCACTCAAAGCCAACTAGGGTCTTTATAATCCCTTCTCCAAAGAAGCACAAAGGGCTTGTCTAGGCACACACAAGTGAAGCGTGTAGGCAGAACACAGCCCCGATTCGTGAAGAGAGATTTCCTTTGCTATGCAAGCCATGGCCCCTGCTGCCTCCATTCCAGGCAGTGTTGCAAAGCTCAGTGAAAACTCTCGTTTCTCAGTTTGTTGGCAGCACCGGCATCGGGGCAGCCCGGGTGGTTGAGGTTCCTTCCGTAAGTGTTTCTGGAAGCCCAGCATAAGACCCTAGGCTATAGAAAGAGAAGAGAAGCAAGTCTGGATTGATACAGACAGGCCAAAGGTATTTGGCCTGTTTTGGTCAGTTACTTTTCAGACAGAAGGCTGGAAGTCCTTATGGACCATCTGTAGAAGCAAAGACATCAGAGGATTTATTTAAGACATTTTCCACCCAGTAACGTGGTTTGAGCTTTATACTTCCTTGTTCTAAAAACCATGATTTTATACTCTTACTGCAACCTTGGGTTTGCAGTAATCCTAAATATTCCATCGTTAGTGGATAAAGACACCTGCAGTTGTCAGAGTGCATTAAAACATGGATTCCCTGAGTCTCGCTGTCCCTAAGCGTAATGGGTGCTAAGCTTAGTGAGCACAGGCCAATTGGGACACAGTGTCACCTGTAACAGTGCAGCTAGAAATAGGAGGCACAGATTTATAGCTCTAAGATGCCAAGAGGAAACTCCCTCTGGGAATTCCTCCATTGGAAGAAGGTCCTTTAAAAAAATACTTTTAAAATGAGGTTTTTATGTGACTAAAGTTCCAGAAATCATTGCTTAATTATTACAAATCAGGAGGTATTTTCTCCCCATTTCCCAGTTGGTGCAAAGGTCATTCCTTCCACTCCTTTTCTTTTGGAAAAAGTTATTGTGAAGCAAAATTTTTCAGGTTCTCCAGGCGTAGTGGTGTACATTTGTCATCCCAGCACTTGGAAGGCTGAGGCAGGAGGATTGTTGCAAGTTCAAGACCAGCCTGGGCTACAGAGTGAACCTAAGGCCAGTTTGAAGGCATAGGAAGACTCTGTCTCAGAAAGTAAAAAAAAAAAAAAAAAAAATTGGTCAAATTATTCAGGTTCCAATGAACCAGTGAACCATGAAAAGTTGTATGCATGGCCATTTAATGTATCATAGCTCACTATGAATTCAGGATTGCCTGAATTGACATTGGTGTATGTGTTTTTTGTTGTCTTCCACTCTTTTAAAGATCATTGTTTTTGTCCCTTCCTACTGGCTTTCCCCCTAAGTTAACTTTATTCCAATCCACTTTGCTGTTGCAACTTTTTATGTGAGGAAAGAGAATTCTGACTGATCCTTGATCAGTCTTAGTATCTGTGCTATCTAACAAAAAACTCAGCAAGAAGGTTCGGATGCAGAATTAGGGTTAATAAGATAAAAAGAAGTCCTTTTACATCCGAATGGAATTTTTGCCTCAGAATGAGGACCAGCCTGACTTGGGTTGCTTTCTTTTTTTCTTTGGCTCTACTTTTGTGCATGGGGAAGGGTTTGAGGTAGGCGGGTGTGAAGTGTCATTAGGGAATGTACTCGGGTTTTAGCACTCTCAATAGACGGATGTCCTAACAGAAAGCAGTTCCTTTAGTCTCAGGTGCCTCCCCTGGGGTTGGCCAGTGTCGTTGGTCCTGGGTGGAGAAAGGAGAAAAAGAAGGAGGTGTGGGAAGCACAAGGAGTTTGAGAGGAGGTGGGAAGAAGGGAGACCAGAGGTGCCCACCATGGTGCTGGGCTGTGGGTGGGGGCCCAGCGCCATCTACAGGCCTTTTAGTGCCCTGTGTTTACTTGTAGGATCTTGGGTGCAAGATCTAGCAGGCTCCTATCTTAACAGAGGTTGGCTGGGTTTCTCTGACACCTGACCAAAGGATGCACTTTCTCATCCATTTTCCTTGTGCTGCTGGAAAACAGTGGATCGAGGCTCCCTGTTTGGCCCAGAGCAACTTTGAGCCGTGAATGAGCCTGTCCCTAATGCTTGGTCTCCTCCCCAGGGAACCAGTGGATGAGGTGCTACAGATCCCTCCATCCCTGCTGACATGTGGTGGTTGCCAGCAGAACATCGGGGACCGCTACTTCCTGAAGGCCATCGATCAGTACTGGCACGAGGACTGTCTCAGCTGCGACCTGTGTGGGTGCCGGCTGGGCGAGGTGGGCCGGCGCCTCTACTACAAGCTGGGCAGGAAGCTCTGCCGGAGGGACTACCTCAGGTACCTGCACCGAACCTCTGGGGAACATCTGGGGCTGGGTGTGGGGTCCCCGGCCTCCAGCAGGTGAGGCTGTGGGGGGGGGTGAGACTCAGCTGCACCACGCAGAGAGGCAGCTGGCTCTTCCTCTTGCTGAGATCCTCTTGTGAGAGGCACATGGCTAGGGTGATAAAATCCCAATATTTTTAAAGGTATGAGAAGGATAAACACAGAAACAGAGCAGTGGTTCTGTCTGCTAATAGGGCTGTGGAGTACACAGAGAGAGAAAGTATCCGTCATAGGATGCGGGAGTGTCTTTGTTTTTGTTTGGGGGTGTATTCTTAGCAACTCATGTTAATGGTTCAAAACATGTGATGTGTTATCTAAAATAGGGTGAATATTTAATTAGAAAAAATTATTATAGTATAAGATACATTGCCATTAACTCCCCATCTCACTCCAAACACACTTCTCCCATCATTCTGCCACTCTCTGAAGCAGTCCTGGGTGTCTCCTTTCATGATTGTCTTTAGTGGTGCTGGCCTGGGTGTCCCCAAACCCTAAGTTGATTCAGAACATTTACTTTCACAGTCATTTTGAGGCTGGAGAACAGCCAGAAGTTGCGTGGTGCCAGATCTGGTGTTAAAAAAAAAAAAGATGAGGACACAACGTAATGGTTTTATTTGGCAGAAATTGCCGGAGATGTTTTGAATCAGTGCAGGACATTGAAGCATCCACAAAAAGTCCGTCACACAGAGGACTTGCAGAACCGCTTCAGAGAGTGGCAAGAAAAATGGAATAAATGGGTTCAAAGTGAGGGGGAGTATTCGGAGGGGGATTAGGGAGAATGTGTCTTTTATGGTGATACATTTTAAAATTTAAACGTTCACTATCTATTTTGATCACCCCTTTGTGGAGCCAGGTACAGTGACCGTACTCCCAGCTGTTTGAAAACAAACAGCAAAACTTGTTTCGAAATAAATAGGTCTTAGCTCAGTGATTTTTCTGAGTTCAGTGTCCCATGCTGCTCCCCCAGAAATCTATAAATGCCATAGATTATAAATAGACTATTGTATTATTCCAATAACTATGTGATGAGAAATATAAAAATAGAAAGTCGTTTCTTACCCTGGCGCTCCCGGCCTTGACTCTCATAGTAGGAAGGTGGTGTCCAGTAGACAGAAAGGCACAAGCCCTGGAGTCAGTAGGAGGTTTGAGTCTCCGTAGTGTTGCTTCCTAGCTCTTTGATCTTGGACTAGTTAGTTAATCACCATGAGCCTCAAGTTCCTCATCTGTAAAATGGGGATAAAAGCAGTGTCTACTTCCAAGGTGAGGATTAGGTGGAATCACACGTGGAATGTACCCTGGTGCATGAATATCCAATAGTTGTTGGCCACTTTTATACCTGTATGACAGGCCCATGAATTCCTTTCTAATCTAATGGACAGAGAGATGGGAACATGAAAGGATGGATTAGGAAGTCCACAAGTTCAAGTGAGGCAGGAGTTCAGGATGCTCTCCTGCCCTGGGCTGTAGGACTGACTGTGTGAATTTTCAGCACTCACCGAGTGCCTTTGTCTGGAAGGTTCTAGCATATGCAGTCTCATCTTTGCTGTGGAGGTAGCTCCATGCCCTCTGCTCTCAGATCTGCTCAGCTGTGAGCTGTCAGTTCTTTACCATCTTCCTGTGGCATGGACTTCGTGAAGCGTGCAGTCCTAATACACTGGGCCCATCCAACCCACAGATACCGGCTTAGGCTTCAGCTCGCTTGGCTGCCAGGCCAGCGCTCTATCCTAATCTGCCCACAAAGCATCTCACATGGGTTTTACCCCAAAACCAGAACTGCAGGTAATTCCACACCAAAGAAAGCTTATCTGTTTACCCTTTTTCTCCTCTCCTAAATTCCCTGATAAAGTCCTTGCAGATTTAGTGGTTCTGAAAAACGTAAGTAGGATTTTGTTTTTCAGTGATCATGATTATAATGTTGGTAGATTTCCCTTTTTATAAAAAAATTTTCTTTCAATCACAAGAAAATGGAACAGGGATAAATACAGACCTGGTTTTGCTCACTCCCAGACTGCCAAATCAGTCAGAAAGCAGACGGGTAAATGATTCCCACTGGGCCCTTGACTCCATCCCTGTCAAATCATTTGAATCTTATTAAACGAAGTACAGATCCAGTAAGGTCAAAAGAGCTGGGTTTCTCCCTATCTCTACAGTTTTATATAATGTTCAGGAATAAAACCGGTGCTGCCTGGGCTTGTTAATCTTTTCTATTTTCAAAAAGGAGAGAGAGAAAAAAATAGTCCAGGAGAACCCAGTGTTAATTAACTTGTGTCTTGGTGACATGAAATAATTCTTCTCCCTGAGACATTCTCAGGAAACATGTTAATTAACTCTGTGTTCGTGCGGGTGTTCCCAGCCATCCTTTAATATTTGTATTATTGTTATTAAAATGGGCAGCAGAAAGCTTAAGACCCAACACTTCTTGGCAGAGGGGACAAATTACTTTTTTGCTTCCGTGATGATGGACTTTTTTTATTTGCATTTTTAGAGTATCTGGCAGTGTCTTTCAACAATGCAAGCTGGAAGAGTAGCTCAGTGGTCCCTGTTGGGGTCCAATCCCTCTGCTCCCTGGAATAACTTCTCCCCATGAGAATTCCTTGTGGCTGACTTGCCTGTCCCCCTGCTTGTCAGCTATTTAGCCTCAAATATTCATGAGACTCCATGCAGAACCGAACTTCTGTCACTGTTGTATCGTCAGGAACCTAACCTCAGCTACTAATGCTAATCCCCAGCCTAGTTCTCCTTAGATTGTGTCTCCCCACCCAGTCACCAATTCTGGGGTGTGTCACCTCCAGACCCCCAGTGGCTGTACTTTACAAATTCTTGCTATGCAGTTCAGTTTGGCCTTAAACTCACTGTGTGCCCCAGGCTGGCCTTGAACTCATGGTGATCCTCCTGCATCAGCCTCCTGAGATTACAGGCATGGGCCCCATCTAACCAGCACCTATTGGAGCCAGAAGTGGGCCAGCCTTCCCAGGGCCTGAGCTGAGGACACACACTGCAAGAGTCCCAGAGCCCAGAACTTGGAGATGTGACTTCGAGCTCAGGAAGTCCCTGAACACCAGGCCGAAGCTGTCTCTGAGGGACTCTGGCTGAGACTGTTTGGCTTCCTCCCCCGTCCTCCAGGTTGCCCTTCTGCTTTCCTGGGCTCCTCTGAGAACATCCTCGATGAATCACTTGCACAAATCCTCCTGAGGGTCCAGTCCTGGGATGTCCCACCTTAGTAAGATGCCACGGCCGCACCTCTCCCAGTTCCTTGGTTCACAGGCCAAAGACACAGAACCCCAGAAAGAGGACGCATTTTCAGGTCACCTGGCGATGGAGAGATGGCATAGGGACCTGAACTCGTCTCCCAAATATTAGTGCTTTCTCCTTCCCTTCCTTAGCTGCCTAAGCCGTTGTAATTTACCTCCGGCTGCTCTCTAATAAGCTGCCTCCTTCTGAAAGGTCTCGAGCCTCGGGCAGTTGGACCCGCTTGGTGCACCGTTTTCCCTGTGCTGTGTGTCTACTCAGGCCCGAACTTCACTTACTGAACAGTCAGGAAACCAGAACTCATTCCACTCTGTGACCTCCAGCGTGGCGGTCACCTGCAGCTCCGCCATCTGCCGCCGTGGGAAAAAATGCTCTCCCCCGCTAATGAGTTTGTTCCCAGGCGGTGCTTGGAAACACTTGGATCCCTCCGGTGGGAATCAGGATTCGGAGGGAAATGAGCTGGCCCGGGGCTAATGCAAGCTCTGGGCTCACAGGGCCACCAGCTCTTCCCCGGCCCGGTCTTCCTGCCGAAATGTTGCAAAGTTTAGCAGCTGCCTTCACCTCCCTTATAGCCTCTCAGGAAGAACAAGTTGATGCTCTGATTTTCTAAAGATAATAACTTCCAGTAAGAATAAGCACTTAACTCTGTCTTGAGGATTTTATGTGCTGGCTTCCCTATGCAGGAAGGATTACACCTATTCGTTCAAACAGCCAGCACTGACTTAACCCTTCTCCCTGTCTCACAGGTGGAGGGGAAGCCGGTCTCCTCCCTCCCCTCCCCTCCCCTCCCCTTCCCCTCCCCTCCCCTCCCCTCCCCTCCCTTCCCCTCCCCCCTCCTTCCCTCCCCTTTCTCTCCTCTTCCATCACCCCCCCCCCTCCTCCTCCTCCTCCTCCTCCTCCTCCTTCTTCTTCTTCTTCTCTCTCTCTCTCTCTCTCTCTCTCCCTCTCAGAGACAAGGTCTCACTTTGTACCCCAGGCTGCTCTCAAGCTCCCGGTGGGCCTCCTTCCCCAGCCTTCTGACTGCTGGAATTACAGGTGTACTGTACCACCACACCCTACTGAGAATTGGTATTTCTGACAAGTTCCTGATTCTGCTGGTCTGGGAACCAGGCTTTGAGGACCCTACATTTTCCTCTACCAAGCTGTATTTCCCACCCCAACACTGACTATTGCTTGAGGTACGTGGATAATCCATGAAGGCTAAGGAGAGATGATACAGATTTTTTAGAAGAGAGGTTTCCCCAGAGATACATGTCAAAGGAGCAGGGAGGCCCAGCGTGGTGGCATGCATCTGTAATCCCATCACTTGGGAGGCTGAGGCAGGAGGATCACTGTGAGTTTGAGGACAACCTGGGTCACAAAGTGAGTTCAAGGCCAGCCTGAACTGTATCGTGAGACCCGGTCTCAAAAACAAAACAAAGGGTTAGTGAGGGCTGTGAAGGAATATCTTCGGTTCACTGTGGAGAGATGGTGTTTGTCCTCCAGGTCTCCGAGGCAGGACTGCCTATATGTGTGTCCCCTGTCTATGGAAGACTTTGAAGTTGGGCTTTGCTGTTGAGGGGGATTCCAGGGCCTGTCTCTCCCTGTGGCTTGTAACATGGTAGAGTTGGGAGCCTCAGAAAGATGTCTGTTTCTGTTGCAGTCCTCACCAAGTCCCACATGCCATGTTTTTGTTTTCTTTTGTGTGTGTGTGTGTGTGTATGTGTGTGTGTGTGTTGGCAGTTGAACTAATTATATCCCAGCCCTTTTTGTTTTTTTTTAATTTTGAGAGTCTCACTAAGTTACTGAGTTGCTCAGCTTAGGAACTTATGCCATTCTCCTGTCTCAGCCTCCCAGAGTGCCGGGATTATAGGTGAGCACCACGTCACGGTTTGGTTCTCCGTCACAGGAGACCCGAGGACTCTTCCTCCAGCTCTGCTTCTGCAGTGAGGCTTCCCCGGGTAGGGCACATGCATTCCATTCAGCCTCTCGTCATAAGTCACTTGGATGGGCGTCTTCCCAGAGGTGACCCAGAGAAAGGAGGAGTCATATTCAGCAAAACGCCACAGTGTTGTCCTGGTCACTCTCTGCCTTCGGCAGCCGCTGTCTGACTGGACACCCAGTCTCCCCTCCTGAGCCCCTTACCAACCTGTCCCTCCCATCTCGTCACTACCCTCGCGTCTCAGCTTTCCTTTCTTTTGGCCCCAGGCTTTTTGGCCAGGATGGTCTCTGTGCATCCTGTGACAAGCGGATCCGTGCCTACGAGATGACCATGCGGGTGAAAGACAAGGTGTACCACCTGGAGTGTTTCAAATGTGCCGCCTGTCAGAAGCATTTCTGCGTGGGTGACAGATACCTCCTCATCAACTCTGACATAGTGTGTGAACAGGACATCTACGAGTGGACTAAGATCAACGGGATGATATAGGCCGGAGTCCCCGCGACGGTGTTGGCGGAGGACACTGCCTGGGCGGCATCTTCACTCTTAGGCACTCTGGGGATTCGAGGGTGGGGTGAGGCATTTCTTAGGCAATGATGGAAACGTACTGGGAACTAAGACATAGTCTCCAAGGGAAGTAATGCAAGGGCCACGACGTCAGTGTGACAGAAGGACCAGCCCTCTTAGAACTTAGGGTCACCTCCTATCCATAGCACCTGACATGATTAGTGGAAGGAAGGCATGTGTGGGACAGGCAGGCACCATGCCGTAGCGATGGGACCTCCCGTCCACCAGGGGGAGCTGTCCTGCTCAGACCCCTTGTGGGAATTTCGATGCTTGTAAACTAGGGATGTGCAGATGATTTCCTCCTGGCTTCTGTAGCAGCCCTCTTCCAGTCACTGTCCTTACAGAGGGCAAAGGACAGGCGGGAGAGTGGCCCACCTTTTTTTCTTGGCCACCTTCCCGAGGCCTTAAGCTTGAGGCCAAAAGGGAACCGCATGGGGGCACATTTCCATGGGGGACGAAAACCTCCCCGCTTAACCAAACTGTTATTTAATGCCGTGCTGAGGAATCATTGTTTTTAGACATGTTGGTTTTGAGGCAAGGAGTTCCAGATCGTTTCTATACAAATGTAAATCTAAGAAATCAAAGTTGCTCAACTATTTTATTATCTTAGATTATATTGAAGTATTTGTTGTGTGTAGTGAAAAAAAAGAAAAGAAAAACACCTCTGCAGACTTAATAAAAATAACTGACTAAAACGCAGTGTTGTTTCTTTGATAATGATGGTGGGAAAGTGGTTTGCTTTTTCTATTGTAAAGGAAAAGTAAATAAGCAATTTACTTCTAGGTCCGATAGGAGCTTCCATTTATTGCAAGGATTTCTATGGGGTTTCTATAGGTTTCTGTATTACTGGCAATTATATAACAGGTCATCACGTAGCTCAGAGGGATATAGAATAATTAAATTGTTATTGTAAAATGTGCATTTCACTTCAGCATTGTGTGGAGAGAGCAGGTGGCAGCAGGATCATTGCCTTTGGGAAACTTGTAACCTAGAAAGCACACAAATACATAAAACAGATTCCCTTTGGGAGAGGAGGTAATTACCTAGTTTGAAATGTGGCAAAGATGCTGAGCTTGACACTTCGATTTTCCAAGACGTGTGTCTCAGGGTGTTTTATGACAAGTGGTTACGAGGACCTTACTTTGAGGATTTAAAGCAGGCACCTTGGCTTGTGCGGGTGACTTAGCCCCATCTCTGTCGCGGTCGTGAACTAAGAGCGCCACCTGCTGGTCATCACCGCTCAGCCGCTAGACCGAGGACTCGCCGCCACAGAGGGCACATGGTACTTTTCAAATGACTTCATAAAAATATTGGCAGCCACCAAGAAGTCCAAATGTGTTTAATTATCAAGATATCAGAAACATGCAGTTAAGGCTGCAGTTAATTAACCAGGAGAGTCCTCTAAAGTCTTATCACTAAAACACTTTTTTTTTCTTGCAGAGAAATAATGAAGCCATATCTCTCTTGGCCTGTCAGATGCTAAGAATGGTTGCCTCAGGTGGCCTACTTAAAACAAATCCAATTCTATTGTATCCCAGCCCAGGTGGTGGGAAGGTTCTGCAGGTCAGCAGTTCTCAAACTCCGTTCACTGAGCCAGCAGTGTGGCAATGCCTGGCAACTTGCTACAAACACAGATTATAGGGTCCTCGTTCCCACACGTTGAGTCAGAAACTCTGCAGATGAGGCTTAGCAATCTGTGTTTTAACAAGCTCTAAGGGGATTCTGGCTTGCTTTAAATACTGCCCTAGCAAGGAAGACCATGTAGTTTAATAGTCAATGTCAAGGTTAATCACTGATTGTACAATGTGTACCCATGGGCCTGAAACTGAAAACATTCACACATTCTTTGTGATCATGGTATCTCCAAGTATCAATATTCACATATTTTTATATCTCGACTAACAGCTGTCTTGTGCCTCATCTGCCAGAATAATCACAATTTAATCCACCATGTTTAACTACATCAACATCAGTAATGATAGATTTTAGCTATGGAGCTATTATATACATCATATTAAGTAAAAATAAAATGATCTTTGTCTTGGGCATGTAAGTCTTATTTGCAAACCCCATTGTAACATAACACGTAAGCTTCAAGAAATCAACCAATGCCTTCACCAATCCCCTACAAAGCAATCATTGACATTTGTTATTTGTTAATGGTGCCATCTTGCAAAACCTGGATCACAGGCAGAATTTTTATAGCAAATCATCCCAGGAGCCTGAATGTCCAAGCCAAAACTGATTCAAGAGGAAAGATGCAAAGAGATTTCAAGAGGGGCCTTCAGTCCGAGTCTCCTGTGGTAGTCCTTGCCTGATGGGGTCGCCATGCGCCCTAGACTCCCTTCCTTGGTCCATGCTTTGACCCAGCAATTTGCTGGAAGAGTTTGATCTGCACAAGCTTCCTTTTATTGTCGCCTCTGACAGAATTGTGACCTCCCAGGAACACTTAGACTCCCACAAAGTTAAGATAGGGTAGTAGTTAGGAGCTTTGGCATCTCAAGTCTTGGATTTGAATTGTGATGACCAGGCTTCACTTACTAAATGTTTATTTACACAGTCCTCCTTCTGTGCTCCACACTCTCCCAGGCACCTTGTTAGCTCCTGGAATCCGACGTATGGCCTTCTGTGTCAGTGTCTATCAGTACCAGCTTCAGAAACTGAAGCCCAGACAGGTTAAGTCCCTGCCTGAGGTCCAGCAGCATCGCCTCTAACCACAGCTCTAAACCCTGTGCCCTACTGCCTCATCAACTTCATCTCACTGCATAACAGCTTTCTCATCTGCAGAATAAGAAAAATCAATACTATTCTCCCCAGATGGAGGATATGAGAGTTTAGTCCAGCCAGAAGTGTAAACAAAGCTCGGTATTGCATGGTTAGCACCATAATAAAGATATGTAAAGAGGGCTATGGAAACACAGGTAAAGGAACAATTCAGTTAGTCTGGGGTAGCTGTCTAGAGTCAAGCGGAGAGGACATTTGGATTGGCCCTGGGCCTGGAAGGGAGTGCTGTGGACAAGAGCAAAGGCTGGGAGGGCTTAACCTGCTATCTTAGTTACTCTGCTTGTTGCTGAAACAAAATACCTGACAGCCACAAGTTTTACTGGGGTTTGCAGTTGGTGAAGGTTTCAGTCCGTGGTCGACTGGTTCCCAGGCAGGGTGGCAGAGCTGGAAGGGGTCACAGAGGAGAGCGGTCCATGGCGGGGCAAGCAGGGGGCGGCAAGCTGCAAAGCTGCCTTCTTTTTGTCCCTTTATATTTCATCCAGGCTATAAATTTATTGATTGGGGCCAACGCACCCAGGGTGGGGCTTCCATCATCCAGACCCCAAACTGTGCTAAATCATTTATCACACACCCTTAATCCCTGTATCACAAACCCAGGTTCCAGCCACCTTCCCAGAGTCCCACCTATGAGCACGTGCAACTGTACGGGTGCTGGCCCAGCAAGAACAAAGGTTCAGAGTTTAAGGGGGATAGTTTGAGCGCTGGCACTGGAGAGGGGCTGTGGCCCGCTAACTGAGGGACTTGGATTCTGCTTTGCTTGCCTAGCACGCATGAGCCCCTGGGTTCGATTCTCAGCACTGCAAAAATAACAAAACCCCAATCTGTCACTTTCTGAGTCCCTTTCTAGGATGTTACTATAACAGGCACAGATTGGGGTTGGAGTGAGCACGGCTGACCTGTGACTTGACTCCTCTTCCTGGCAGTCTCCCTGGTCCCTTTAACTGCAGCCACTCACCTGATAGCTCTGAGGCTTTCCTGCTGAAAAATCTTCTGAGTAACACAAAAGGTGAGAACTGGGTGAGTTCCTCTTATGTGGAGCCCACCTGGTTATAAACAACAACCCTTTCTTTGCTTGTTGTTGTTTGTGTAAATTGTTCCCTGATTTCAGCTTTAAAAAAAAAAGGTGCTGCTAAGCTCAGTGAAGTGGTGGGTACCTCTAGTCCCAACTACTTGGAGGCTGAGGCAGGAGGGTCCCTTGAGTCCAGAAGCTGCAAACCAACAAGGAAAATACAGTAAGATTCTAGGAGTTTTTTTGGTTTTGTTTTTGTCTTTTTCATGACAGTGATTTTAACTAGGATTAGTGATAGCTCATTGTTATTTTTATTTGTATTACCTTGTTTGTTGTTTTGGTACTGGGAATCGAACTTATAACCTTGCACTTGCCAGGCAGGTGCTTATGCCACTGAACTACATCCTTGGCAAGATCTTGTTTCTTAAAAAAGAGATTGTAGCTAAATCCCAGCTTCTACAGAGGCAGGGGCACTGTCTCATCCATCCTCATGTGTCCAACCCTTAGCATCTGGTAGACACCAATATGTTACTGAAATGATTTTTAACTCTCTTTTAAGCTTCTATATTGTTGCCTAATGTACTGACTTTGTTTTCTTTTGAACTTTTTTCCCCTCTACTTTAAAACTTCATTTGGGAAGAAAGCCTTATGTCAAACCAGCAGAGCACAGGGTTAAGGGCCTGGATTAAACCCATGTCTGTCTCTCCTTAGCCGTAGGACCTCAGGACTTACCCTATCTGGGCTTCAATTGCTGAAGTGGGTGACAGTGAATAGAAACTGCCATGGAGGGCTGTCGTGTGGGTCCAAGGAGTTCGTTGGTAAAGTGCCTCATTCGCCATAAGAGACAGCGCCCAGGCCAATGTATACATGGAATAGGAGGAGGAAATATTTAGGAACTGAACGGGTAAGAGGAAGGGCTAGTGGGTCAGAAAGTAGGGGAGGTAAATTTTAAAAGGGAAATCAAAATCAAAATAAGGAGCAAACTTCAAGCGTCTGTACGGTGGAAAAAAGGGGTCCAGAACAGTTCCAAGACATTTTGTTATACCAGAAAGTAACAGCGTGCTACCAAAAACCAAAAGACTATGTAGGCATGTCACAAGGACAGAGCAGCCTGTGGAAAGGGTGTGTCAATGGCCGGATCTAGGAATCTGCCAGTCGAGGTGGGATGCACCTGTAATCCCAGAACTCTGGGCACCTAAAATAGGAGGCTGTCACGTTCCAGCTCTGCCTGGGTAATTTAGTGACTCTGTAAGATCCTATCTCAAAAACAAAACATGCAACAAAAATCAGCCTGGGGATGTAGCTCAGCATCAAGGCCCTGGTTTCTATCCTTAGTACCATGGTGGGGGAGTAAAAGAAATTTTTTAAAAGGACAGAAATGCATTATAAACTATCTGGGGAGAATTCATGGATTTCTACCGATAATAAATGTGAAAAAGAAAAGACAGCTCATTCTTACAGGAGAATCTTTTGACTGTCAATTTATACATGTGACGGAAACATGAAAGTTGGGAAATTATCATGTGGCAGTGGTCACAGTAAAGACAGAGAATCAGCAATAGACACTGAACTCCAAGAAGGAAGAGAAGAGCAGTGCGGATATCTGGGTTGCAGGATCTTAGAGAATCTTTCCACGTATTGTTTATTAGTTACAAGGGGGAAATGGAGAAGAAGGATAATCCTTTGACCAGGTGGCCCGTAAGAGCAGACAGACATTATGTGCCTCCAGATGCTGCACCCTGCAAAGGGGCAGTCCAGCTGGGAACGCGTGACTTGAATCTAATTACGAGACAAATGATCAGGAAGACTCACAATGATAAATATTCTGTTTTTAAAACTGGGTGGAGGGATGGATTTACTCTTTGAAAACGTTGATGTCATGAAAGGTATAGAAAGGCCACT